GGGCACGGCTGCGGTGGCCTCACCCTCGGCTCTTCCTCCCTCGTGGGGCACAAGCATCTCAGCAGAGCTTTAGGACTGCCCAGGCAGAGCAGACCGCAGCCATGTGCCTGCTTGGTTGGGGGAAGGCTGCAGCCTGCGGAGCCCAGGGGATGCTGGCATGGAGCAGCAGGTGCTGGGGTCTCCCCTTTGCCCTGTGTCCCCCCCCGTCCCTGCCCAGGGCTTTCCCCGGCAGCCGCAGGCGGAAGAAGCAGCGTTTTCTGTAGCCACAGGAAATGCAACACAGCAGAAAGAGGAAACGGTGAAACAACGTCATCAGATCTTTGGGCAGAACCACGGCGATGGCACTGAGTGCTCGTGTCTGCTGGCATGCAGTCTGGGAGCACGAGTGTGCATGCGTGTGCGTGTGTGTGTGCACAGTGGCTGCGTGTGCAGCGTGTCATGGACGTGTGTGCCTGTACCCGGGTGGTGTCACATGCTGTGGCTGTCTCGAAGGCCAGCGGCTGCTCGGGGACGTGCCCCAGGGCACCGGGGCTGGTGTGCCCCATCGGACCTCTGCCACCTGCACCCCCTGCTCGTCCCACACAGGGGGACTAAACTAAAGGCTAAATCCCAACTGCCTGGCTCAGCACCAGTTTTGGGGTTGCATCCGCTCCCAGAGCTCTCGCCATACACCAAAATACCTGGCTGCAGCGCGTGAGGATGGGAAAGACTTTAAATTTAGCATTGCCCAAAAGAGCGACAGGTTGATCTCCGGTGCTTTCTGCACCAAGGCCACTTAGCCATGTGTTAACAGCAGTATTGCCTCCTGGGGTGGATGGGTCTGGATAGCTGGGGCTGACCGGGGAGAAGGCAAAGGGCTCTCAGAAAGCAGCAGCGGCACTAACAGTGCCGGCTCCCGCTTCTCACGCCTGCTCCTGCCGTGTCTGTGTGAAATCCCTCCTGCCTTGCCAAGCGCCGGCGCGTGCCTTGGATTTGTGTTGTGCCGTGCAGCTGGGAGCCAGTTCCGGCGCGCTGGCAGCGGCTTAGCCCTCCGGGGACGGCAGGGGAGGCATTACCCTGGCAGCCGACGGGGACGGCCCTGGCAGCTTGAGGTGCTCGGGATTAAACTCTCAGCGCTGCTAACCCTGGGGTCACATGCCCGAACACAGGAACAGCTTCTGAAACTGCAGGTCCCTGGGGAGCCCCAATGCTCTGATACCTGGACCAGCGCCACGGCCCCTCGGTCAGGGTCGGGGGAAGAGGTGCCAGGTAGCTGCCTGCCCCATGCCAGGAGTTTCATTGCTTTCTGCTCTCACGTCCCTCCCCAGAGCCACCACCTCCAGCTGCTGACTCACGGCCGTGGCGGGGGCCGCCCCCGGCGGGCTGCAGCACTGGCTGGGGCTGGGTTACTGCACACAGTACCACCAGCAACACTCCTGGCCCAGACGCCTATTTAATGCCAGTGTGGGGTTTGTCCCCCCAGGGGTGGGTTTTAGCTCACCATAGGATGGTTTAGTCACCCGGCTTTGCCTCAGCAGCCAGCTGGCCGGGGAGGTGCAGAGCTGGTAGGGGCCCCTGCCACCCATGGGTGCCCCAGCCATGCTCCCAGCCTGGGGACAGGACCCAGGGCTCACACCAGCATCTGGGATGTGAGACACACGGGTCCAAATCCTATCTCAAACAGGTTTCCCCTGTGACTTGAGCCAAGTCCCTCAGCTGCTCCCTGCCTCAGTCTCCGCTGTGCAGCATGAAGTTCCAGGGAAACAAGCACGCACCCGAGCAGAGCCATGTGATGAGACTGGGATTTCTGCTGCTTTGAGATTGGGCAGAGACCCCAGAGCCACCAGCTCTGCCCGTACAACCACTGGAGTTAACCCAGTCCCTGGGGACCAGCATTGACCCTGGCAAGACCCGGCTGCACTGAAACACGACGCGGAGGATTTCCAAGCTTGTGCCCGCGGGCTGAGCCCCCGGCTGCCTCTGCTTTGCCTGGTCACGCCACGAAACCTGAGCTCTGGGGCTGATGAGCCCCAGGACCGTCCCTCTGGGCTCCCCAGCATTTGGTACACATTACCTCCTGCCTGCGCACAGCCTTTCGGCCCCGGTGGTTTCCTCTTCTCCCCTCCTGCCGGCACCCCACAGTCCAGGGGGGCCTTGATCTGCCCCCCACACCATGCTGGAGATGTGAACCCAACTTTCTGGCTGATTTTGGCACAAGGGCCATGAGCTGGGCTGTCCCACCCGGACAGAGCAATGGCCCCATGGCCAGGGAGCAGCACATGGGGTTAGACGGGGCTGCAGAAGGGAGGGTCGCTGCGGAAGGGATGCTGCTATGCCAGAGGCTGCCCTGGGGTCGCCACCGGTGTTCACCATGCCATTGCGGGCAGCGGGGGCTTTGCCCAGAGTGTCCCCACAGGCCGGTACCTGCCCCCTCGGGCTGCCTGAAGCCCCAGCCCAGGGGTGTCTGCCCCAGACTCACGCAGCCCTGTGGTCCCCGTGGTCTCCATCGCTCCATGACCAAGACACGTGCCTGGGGATGGAGAACCCTTCCCCAACCTCCAGCACCATACGGAGCCATTCTTGGCTGCGTTTAACCCAGGGTTGAATGGAGCAGGGCCATCCCTTCCCCCTGGGAAGGGGCCGAAATCCCCTGGGCGCCAGCGGTGATTAACACAGGGCAGTTATCACCATCCAAACACGCAGCTCATCCTGCCGCAAGTAGGCAGCCTCACCCCCCTCACTGCGGGGAAATGTCTCTATTTTGGCATTTCCAGCACTGCTTGCGTGGCTGGACGCAGGATGCGGTGTCAGGAGGGCTTTGCGGGGACCCTGGGGCGCAGGGTGGGTAGGAGCAAAAGCACAGGTGGAGGAGAGCGGAGGGTGCTGCAGCTTGAGCCCCCTCAGGTTTTGGCCCTGTGAGTGCCCAGCAGCGCTTCCCAGGCTCAGGACGCTGCCTGGCTGTGAGCAGGTTAACAAGATCCCAGCATAGCCTAAACTAATAAATTCTGTGGTTGTTTTTCTTTTCTTTTTCATTTTTGGGGCTTGTTTTTCCAGCCGTAAAAACTAATAAACCCAAGTACAAAAGCTGCATTTTTTTACTACAAAAGCAGCTGGTCTTATATAATGATCTGATCCTAAAAACTCAGGCTTCAAAAAACAAGAAATCGTAGCACATGAAATAGAGGGAAACTGGAGATAAACTGGGCAGCACGGGAACCACCCTCCTGGGGCTGGGCAGTGCTGCAGCCCCGAGCGAGGTGAAACGATGCACTCGAAATACCCCAGACGTCTGTGGCTGAGCATCACCCTTCCCTGGCTGGAGAAAATTACTCAGTCCCCAATCTGCACTCCAAATAACCTCTACGCACCGCCTGAGCCAGCCACACACTTTGTTTTTTCCTCCTCTGCCAATTTGAGCAAGAATGTGCACACAGAAAACTTGATAAAGATATTTTAGAAAACTTGATAAAGGCACAAACCATACTTACATCCTCTCTGACCTTTCTGCTTGACTCAGCGATAAGGATTTGGGCTTTTCTGGCTGATCTGCCCACGCCATCCCGGGACCGTGTCTTTTCCCTGAACCTCTGTCTGCCAGCATCTTCCCAGAGACGGCATGCCCCAAAGTGAGCTCAGCTGATTACAGGCACGGACACACAGGACCAGAGAAATCACCTGCACAGCCCCAAACTGCAGCTCTGTAAACTCAAACTCTTTCAGGGTTTATCCTATGTCCTGTACTGATGACAGCTCACTCCGGCAGCAGATCGGAGCCTCAGGCTGTTCCTGGAAATTCACCAAAGTCTGGAATTCTTTAGACAGAACAATGTTGCCCCAAACCCCCTCGAGTCTGGCCTCGAAAACAATGGGACTGATTTATAAATCAGGAGCTGAACACACCACACCATTTTGCAGTTGCAGAATTTACTTTGAGCCCCGGAAACACACCTGGGGAGGAGATAACGCTTTTCTAGGCTTCTTCTCCATGCTTCACACATTGGAATTATTTTTTTAAATACAAACTACATTTGTCCTGAAATCACCTGATGCCAGAAATCAGAGTTTTTAAAGAAAAGCACCAAAATAGCATAAGAAAAAATAACACAAGACAGCAACGCTGACATAAATACACCCCATCCCCTTAAAAATGACAAGGATGCAGTGACTACCTGCCCTGCAAACTCCCCCAGCGTATTTTCTGTTTATAAAGGAAGGAGCCCAAGTCACACCCCAGTGCTTCCATTACAAACCAGTACCCGGAGCCAAACACAGCGTAGGTAAAGAATATAAACCTGCCGCACCCAGTGCGAGAATAATGCACCAAACCATGTCTTGACCCTATAACATCTTTGAGAAACCCTCCTGGCCCCTACCCAGCCGAAGCTCAACCGGCTTGAGTGGTGCTTTGTATTTGGGAACCATGCCGAGGTTTCAGGCTGCCAGATCCCCCTCCGAGCAATTTTCCTGGGAAATCCCAGATCCTGGGAATGCAGAAAATCCTGGGATTTTGGGAAATAACTGTAAACTAAATGACCCGGCTTTAAGCAAGCGACAGCGCTACAGGCTGTAAACCTACCCCAGCCGCCAGCAGCGCAGAGCACGAGGATCCCGAGAGCCACGCAGAGTTTTCCCATCTTCTCCTCCGAGCCCCGAGCGTGGGGGGTTGCTCGGACCAGCCCCGCCGTGAGCGATGGAGAGCAGCTCTGGGGCGGCTGGAGGTTTTGAGCAGTTCAGGAGATGAATCATAAGTCTGGGTGTATGACACACATGGCGAGCGGGGCCGGCCGGAGGAAACTGTGCTGGCTCGTCACTCAGTTTTGAGTCAGGGAGTGCCCCCGCCCGCTCTGCCTGCAGCTCCTCATGCTTTTTTTGCTCTCTCAGCTCAGACAAGGACCTAATAAACCCTGGCAGCAAGTACACAGCACTGGTGACCCACAGCCCTGGGGCTGGTAACAGGCTCTTTCCCATAGGCTCTTTCGCCTGGGTTTAATTCCTTGCAAAATCTTGCTCACTCCCTCCTTTTATTAACTCTTGCATGAAAGGCAGCCTGGGTTTTAAACCCAGTCTGAGCTGCCTCTGACTTCAAGGATTGAAGGGGAGATAGCGCAAATAAATACAGATATGAAAGTGTGGGTTCTCAGCTCCCCTCCCCAGAGCACTGGTGCGAATGGGAGTATCTCTGCTGAAACGGAGCTGGGAGCTGAGTGAGACCCAGCCAAGAACTGGACCTGGTGAAACCAGCAGTTTGGGTATAAACCTGGACATCGCAAGGGGAGGGAAGTTAGCTTTGGGTCAGATAATTTGGACCTGATTTTCTTCGCACTTGTATTGGTTTTTTCCCCTCTGTGTCCTCAGAAATTGCTTCTGTACTGAGCAAGTACAGAGAGTCAGATCTGCACAAGAATTGCCCCTGCTGAAATGCCGGAGCTGCTTGTGGGTGCCTCCTGAAGGGGTTTTATAAACCTCTTGTTCCCCTGTGATACCAAGGTCCTTCTTGGAGATGGGGAAACTGAGGCACTCAAAATACAGGTTGGGGGACAAAAGGGAGAGAAGGGCTGTTTCCCTGGAGCCCTGGGCTGCTCACTTACCAGGTGATAGGGGTTGGGGACAGCAATGGCTGGGATGATCCAACACACAGAAATGCCAGGCAGCAGAAAATGAGCTCGTGTGGGTGCCGAGAGCTGCAGCCGCAGCCTGGCGGTGCCAGAAGGTGCGGGGCGATGTGCAAGGTGCTGTACAAGAACCACAGCCCCACGCTGGGGGATAACAGCATCTGCCCCAGAGCTGTGCAGCTCTCAATGAGAGATGATGGTGTTTGTGAGGGTGAGATGGAGATGGGGACTCAGCCTCAGGAGCTGGGGACTTTTCTTGGCTTTAAAAGAAGAAGTTTTGATGCCTTTTTGCTTCCCCACTCAGCCCCACCTTCCCTGCGGGGTGCTGCTGCCCTCCCGCGGCTTGCGTGGGCTCCGCTCAGTGGGGGATCATTTTCCTCCTTGGGATCCAGCTCCCTCCCTGAGATTTGTTAATGAGGATTTGGTAAAGGGGCCTAGGAGAAGCCCATTGACGCTCATGCAGCGTCAAAAAGGGCTGCACCTTGGCTGGGACATCAATGCAAACCCCAAACCTGCTTTCTGGGGGGCTCTAGGTCTCGCCCTGCTGCAGATCCCAGAGCCGTCTCTCACTGCAGACCCCATTAGCCAGTTTTAAGGCATCCAAATTCCTGCTTTTCCTGCACTGGTTCTTCTCTCCCTGCCTGGAAGTGCCGCCTGTGTGGCCCTTCCCTGTTGTGCAGGGTTTTCTGGCCATGCGGCAGCCTGGCAGTCCCTGTACTACCCTGTGAGCATGTCTGATGCTTCATGGAAGGGATGATGAATTTGTCTAAGTTTCTATAGAGAGAAATGTAGGAGCCCTGCTTGGCTCTGCACACCCCACAAATCCGACCTGCCATTGATCTCGCAGGCCCTCTTCACTGGGGGACTCATCCTGCCAAGCAGCTGGTTGCTCGAACTGGCAAGTGCTGCAGGCTCCAAAGGGACACACAGCCCTCTGTGTCCTGAAACTCCCTGCCCAGCATAAACCGGGATACTCCAGCCCTTGCTTCCAGCATGGTGCAAAAACTTTGAAGAAGAAGGAAAAAGTCACAAAATGAAGTATTTGACCTGCCTGCACCTGCCTGAGGACAGGGATGTCACGAACTTAATTCAGCACACTTGGACTGAATTTCCCTGCCGACTGCAAGACGGTGCTGCTTGTCCTGAAACCATTGCCGTGATGTTAACTCCGGGCACTGTGTAACAGATAAGGGGATGCTCTGGGTATTGAAGTCCTTGTTTGGATTAAGGCAAGAAGCAGGCAGGGGTGTTTGAGAGCTGAGCGGTCCCAGGGCCCTGGCTGTGTCCCTGCAGGCTGTGACCCAGGAGCGATGGGTGCAGCAGCCCGAATCCGTGCTCGGGCGTGCGGGGAGAGGAGAGGCTGGAGCTGGAGCCACCAGAGGGAGCAGAAACTCCTTCAGTCTGGGAGCGAGCCGCGGAGAGGAGCTCCCACCCGGGCTGGAGCACCGGGGATGCTCTGGTTTCCCGTAGGGATTTTTCCTGGCCCTCAGGTTAAACACGAGCAGATGCTCTTGTTCGATCAGGGCTTTCCACCTCCCTCCTGCAAGCGCTCTGCTGTGAACTGCCCTCGCAGACCGGGCAGCCCTTCATGTGCAAAACAAGGAGGAAAAAGCAACAAGTAAAACCTAAACCAAACAGTTTTTGAGCCCCTGAAGTCACAGCAGCAGAACAGGGACACAGATCCCAGCAGCCTAAAAGGAAAATCAGTTGACACTCTCTCTACCAAGCCACCCTCCATCCTCCGCCAGCCAGCCTCACGCTCCTGCCTTTAGCTGCAATTTATCAATTCTCATTTAGGTTTATGAAAATCCCCTTTGGGGGCTGGGCAAAGAAAGCGAGCCAAGATGTACACAGATAAATCATGGCTCGAGGGTGATCTCCTGTTATACGCCATCCAGACACGTTTCCAGGCAAACACCAACGGGCAAAGCCGAGACATGGCAGTTCCACAGGCACAGTCCTGGGACAGGCAGGGTCAGGACTAAGCCAGACACAGCTGGACACCCCGACTTGTGCTTTCCCTTTGGGAGCTTACGCAGACAAGGAGAGGGGAGCGACGATGAAACTTCCCCTGGGATTCCCTTGGTGGGGCTGCGGGGCCCAAGGGAGAGGGTCTGCAATGCTCCAGCCCTGGGTGCAGCAGTGATGCTGCTGTAGGACCCAGAGCAGGGGACAGGGCAGGGAAGGGGCATCGGGCAGAGATCAGGGTGCAGCATCGCAGTGCTCCCCTTTGAAGGGGCTAAAGGAGCAGGAGGGGGAGAAGAGGGAGACAAAGGTGCCCAGGGAGGAAACCCCCAGCCCGAAGAAGACAAGGATGCAGAGAGGGGGGATGGATCCAGCTCTCGTCTGGAAGCACAGGGCAGGCATCACTGAGCAGAGCCGGGGGTGGACCAGGCTGGATTGGGCCAGCGCTGCTCTAAGAAGGAGTGGGTGGCACAGAGCAGCAACCGGGGATCAGCAAAAGCAGCACTGACCTGAGGCTCAC